TGCTGAGCACAAGAGTGGGACAAATGTGAGCCCATGAGTCTGATTTATTCCTGGCAGAGTAGCCAGGCACCAAAGGACCAGATATCAGAGAAGTATCATGAGTCAGATATTGACTATTCTGTGTTGGCTGGAATCGACTCCACAATAAAACCATTATTCACATTATTCTGTTTTGATCTGTGTAAATGTTTGTGCATCCCTCCCTCTGTCTCATGTGGAAGACTTTGTGCCGTGACACCCTGTGATGTTTCCCACAAGACAATGGCTCTTCATCAAGTGGAATAATTGATGTGGCCTTCTGCAGTTTTGCATCTGTCCCAGCTGCAACCTAAGCAGGTTCTGTCCCATGTTGTAAAGACATTCAGGGTCTCTCACACCTCTGCAAGCTGAACTAACCCATCTTTAAAGACCGTCTAAAACCAGGTCCAACTTTCTGTTTTGTTTTGGGTTTTTTTCCCATTTCTGGGTGAATTGATTATGTGTTATAAAGCCTTTTCAACATGCCTAGAGTTAACAGGGCAATATCAGTACTGTTTGGCCAGAACTGTGACAATTCAGCCTATTTTTTGAAGCACCTTGCTCTTTCCAGACAATCATCTACTCAGCCAAAGGGGGTGAGTAGAAAACAAGGAAGTCATAGGAAATTGGCTTTTCCCATTTTTCATGCCTTTCTTACCCTTTCAGCTCTAAACCAAATCCTGTTTCACTCTCATCCTGCCTTTGCTGACACTTGTGTTCAGCAGTGTCTACTGACTACACAGCCCAACCATCTCCTCTTCCCATGGTAATTGTCAGATAAGGCTTTGATTCTTCATTGTCTAGGCCACAAAATTTTTTAGAACAGGCCATGGCACCATCATGTTGCATCAATTTGTACTGTCCTAGGCAGGTCCTGAGTTGGCAAATGTGAGAGATCATTTTCCAGAGGTATTTTGGGAAGATGAGGTAGTTTAACAGCATGAATGCAGTTTGTCCCACAATGGAAAATGGTCCTGTTTTCATTGGCTGTTTTACTATCAGCAGAGCCCCAGACCAGGCAGGGCTGAGCAGGGCAGTGAAGAGAGTATTGCCTTAAGCTCAGTGGCCTCTATGAGTCAAAGAGAGCTGTTGGCACCTAAAGCAGCAACCTTTAGCCTTCACTAGCCCGTGGGCCACAGTCCTGAGCATGGTAGCTGAACTACTTCCATTCAGGGTGGGTAGATTGCTTGAGTACAAGGTATAGATGCCCTTGATGACAAGGAGGCCTGGGAACTCCTACTGGGCACCAGAGACTTCATCATTGTAGACATTAAGGGCTCTGTTTAGATATCTACACATAAATATGCAATACCCAAGACACTCATAATAACTAGCAACACGACACAGTAACAAAAAGAGACCTGTGTGCTCCTGGAGCAGCAGTGGGTAGCCAAAATGGACAACCCAGTTCAACTCAGATAGGAACAGGTGCTTGTGTTTGTGCAACTGAATCAAGCCACTGAAGGTGGATGTTGAAATCCAGAATGGGATTTCACCTATATTCTAGGAACTGTGGAAATAACTTTGTTCTTTCCCCTTGTTTTTCCTTAACACCCCACATGTGGAAGATCTCACCAAAGGCACTTCTATGGGCTTCTGGCCCTGTCCTATAGTGGACAACAGCAAAAGACACAGGCAGGGGCACTTCAGTTCTTTCCATAGGCAAAGCTTGCCATGAGTGATTTTACCACCCTGGTATTCCTGTGTTGATGTTGATGGCAGCACAACAATCCACCACTTCTTCTGGTGTCATAACTCACAAGCTCGTGAGTCAGGGAAGTTGTGTGTGGAATTAATGAAACTGAAAAACTAAAGCTTAGGTGTGACTGGTGAGCAATTTAAACTCCTGATGATTGTCTGGAGTACCCTGGAAGCATGGCCAGAAAATGCCATGATGTCATGGACCTGTTTCTCCTGTAACACCTGGATAAGACCGGGCTGGGAATCACTGTTCTCCTTGCAGGCAGGAGAGGGCAGTAGCAGCACACACATTGACCCATCTGTCCCTGTTACCAGACACCGACTGCAGTAGGATGTGGCCTTTGTATTATCGTCAGATCTCTCTGCTTAATTTGCTGGTGCTTTTAACTGAAAGAAGAGGGGGAAGAGTCATTTTGTTCCTTACAAGTGCATGGCAACAGCCTACAAGCCCAAAGTTCATGGTGGGGAGGGGTAATGAATGCCCATGACTCCCCATTTCAGTAGTAAAGAAGGTGAGAATCATAGAATCATAGAATAGATTGGGTTGGAAAAGACCTCCAAGATCATCAAGTTCAACCCCTGATCCAACTCCAATTACTATACCATGGCACTAAGGGCCACATCCAATCTCTGCTTAAAAACCTCCAGGGATGGTGAATCCACCACCTCTCTGGGTAGGCCGTTCCAATGCCTGATGACCCTCTCTGTAAAGAATTTCTTCCTAACATCTAACCTAAACCTCCCCTGGCAGAGCTTGAGCCCATGTCCTCTTGTCCTATTGTTGGTTGCCTGGGAGAAGAGACCAACCCCCACCTGGCTATAACCTCCCTTCAGGTAGTTGAAGAGAGTGATGAGGTCACCTCTAAGCCTTCTCTTCTCCAGGCTAAACAACCCCAGCTCCCTCAGCCTCTCCTCATAGGACTTGTGCTCAAGTCCCTTCACCAGCCTCGTTGCTCTT